ATTACGATATTCGGTGATGATTTTAATTTCTTTAGAATCTCAATTTGTAATGAAAGGTCTTCGTTTAATATACGATCATTTTGCATTTCTGCCGTTTCCTCTTGCGTTTCGGCTGAATTAGAAGAGAGAGGGATAACGTCGGGTATCAGTTTAAAGGCAAAAAGTTGATGATCAAAATTTCGTCTACGAAGTTCAACTTTAGTTTTGGGAATTTTCTGTATAAGCTCATAATTCAAAATATTAAGTGGTTCCGAAGGCTTAATGTCATAATTTTTGTGCCTCTTATAAGCCTCATTCGCTTCTTGAATTTCGATCGCCTGGGAGATATTGTAGTTAATCATTTTCAAATACTAAGAGAATAAATATAATAAAAGTTAGGTACTATATCCATTAAAATATCTTAACACATTTGTAATTACCTCTTTCGTGTTCTTAATATCTTGCTTTATTAATTTTCTTTCTTTTCTCGCCTGGGTATTTGTTTCTACGCTGATAACGAAATGTAACGTTTTCATGTACATTTCAAATCTACTTGTCAATTCTTTGAAATCTTGATCAATGAGCTTAGCATTTAGATATTTTTTCCATCCTGTCACCTTAGACACATCTTTGCAAAACTTTTCCATCTCCTTCATACATTTTATTAGATTTTCGACGATTTTAATGTTTTTCTCATTAAAAAACTCCGTCTTCTGATCTCTACGAATGTGAAGGTATTTAATTACAGCTTCAGCCACGTATACACGATCAAGGATGGCGCCACAAATGGATTTGTTATGTTCAGCGGCTTTGTAAATGTCTATTATTGATAGGATAATTTTGCATGCATCACTTACAAATGGAATAAACCTTTTTATTAGTTCATTATTAGCCACCACAGGATGAACTGTAGAAACGGCATCCGTTATTTTGGTCGTAGCTCCTTCAATAAAAGCAGAAGTTAATGCTATTCTCTCCATATATTTATTCTCGGGATCTTTTGGACCTCGATTAGGCGATATGTTGTCCGAGCCCTCAAGAAAACTTAAAGACGAAGGCGCAACTGTTGAGGAAGCAAAACTACTAGAATCACTTGTAGATTGGTTATTTTCGCTATTAGAATTTCCGAGTTGCGGATTTGGTGATGGCATCAGGAAATTATTTTGATCCTGAGTTTTAGGCTTTTCATCTTCTCTACGAGTTAATTGCTTTTTTCTTTGCATGATTAATGACCTTGACAGGTTTTTTTTTATCTAGATTATACTTTATACAGTAACGCCAAAATTTAAAAATTTTGACCTTATACTGTATTGTATTTGCATCTGTAAGTAGGATAACACAGCAGAGTTTTAATTGCTATTTTCGGCCGCAGAGGGTGTGTTGTTTATGCACTACTTGTGCGTCACCTGTGCAGGTGCACATACAATGATTTTGAGTGAAATTTCCGAATTACGGAAATCCCTTACATTATTATAAAAATCTACTATATCATGTGTTTAATATTTGCTAGAAAGTGACCGATCGGATAATTTTTTATTGTTTAAATAAAATTTCTCAAAAACTAGCAAAGTAATTTAAATAATATTTTAATATGTTATATAAAATCTATCTTTTTATAACATTAAAATTTTATCTAAATAAAATCGCTAGTTTTCGAGAAAATCCATAAATTATAAAAAAAAAATAAGGATCGTCACGAATTCACAAAATTTGCGCAAAATTATTAATCACTATAAATATCATTGTTTTAATATAAACTAAATTAAAATTTTAAATATAGAAAATTTCATATGACAGTATAATAAACGATTTTTATTAATAAATATAAAACAAATCTTACCTTTGTTTGAATCATAAAATTTTCCAAGCATGTTAAGAATGCTTTTTTTATATTTTCACCAGAATGTACACCCCAGATTCATACAAAATCAATTGTTATTGATTGCATTTTCCAATTTTTATTGATAAAATGTGCAGAAATGGCCAAAAAAACTTTCATTGATACTGAAGTCCAAATATCATGGGTAAATAAGATTTGGTTTTCTATTTCTTATAATAATTTCTGTATTTTTTTTTGATCAGCCAGATAGAATTTCATAATATTTGTTTTAATAGAAGTCGGAAAAGGTAATTTTACATTTTCCGATAAAGTTTCTATAAAATTTTGAAAAGTTGATTCTTGTATGATTGTAAAAGGATGTTGCTTAACAACAATCTATTGAATTAATTTTTTTTCCATTTTTATGGTCGTATATCCACTAAATATTAAAATATTAAATAAATTAAATAATAAACTTGGTATTTAATATAAATAAAATTTATTACCTTTGCTTTATTAAAATAATTTTCTATTAATGTTCCAATCCAATTTTGCTATATAAAATCTTGTAAGATGTTTATATATATTAGTAGTACTGCCTCTACTTAGTGATGAATAAATGGCTTGGTTCTAATCGGCTAACTTATTTAAGTCATAACAATAAATGGCTTGGTTCCAACTCTTCAAAGCTATTAAGTCGAAATAGAGCCGATTAAATCACAACCAATTAAATATTTTAAAAAAATTTTTTTAATTAATATAAATTAATTAAATGTTTTTTGAAATTATATGTATACGTATAATATTTCACATTATTCATAATCTTTATTACAGACAGGAAAGTATTTATGGAAAGGATGGAACAATTATGTCATCAGTACTTGTTTTTCGCTATCCAATTCCTATCTGACTCTTTTGTGTATCTCTTCCACTCCCAAAAAAGTGTAAAGGGGAAAAAGAGACTGCGATCGGCAATCTATGCGTATTGTATTTAGATCTATAATAATGCCTTCCCCGGATTTCTCTGATTTCTTGAATAATAGAAATCCTATAGATAATTAAAACAGGGTAGATTTTAGAGATATTAGTAATGGATATATTTTTTTTATTATTCTTATTATCTGAACAATTATATTAACAATAAGTTATATTAATTTATAAATTTATGACATTCTAAAAATGTATAAAAAAAGTATGTCTCAATATTCTAATAAAACTCGGTGATGGTTAAACATACTAGTGAATGTGACGCAGATTGTGTATTGGAGTTGTGTTAGCACACTCGACTATATTTTATTTTGATTGCCTTGTTCATGACGATATTGTTAAAGTCAGATTAAACATATGATTAAAAGTTTGTTTGATAACTTTATTTTTGAAAATTAGTGACCTCAAGTAAAGTCTTAAAAATTACCTTTTTCGAACTAGCTGGGACAAGTAATTGTAAGTCTATTTGCATTGTTATTATCGATCATTATTAAAGAGTAAAGATATCAGAATCTGATCTATCGGATATTAATACTTCGCGTTTCCACCTTGAGATCGGCACTCGATCCCTCGATCTATGAATTATATCTTGGGCAAGCTTTCACCTTCCGCAAATGGTGCAAATTATTAATCATTTATTCTTAGGATTTCATTATCACCGCAGTAAGCATGCATTAACCAGTTACCTGAAAGCAACTTGGTATTCTTCTCTATAGAAAGTAGGAATTATTAAATACCAGTTAGTCTCACTACTATATTCTGGGCCGAAACCGATTCCCTTTTTAAAATTCAAGTAGATTTTTCACTTTAATTCACTTTTCCTTAGATTAACCATTAAGATTTTTACCTCGAATGTTACATCTAACATAGGCTGTTTGGTGAATGGATTAATCACTGATCATGATACCAGCTGCTATGATGGGCTTAAGATCCCTATTCATTCAGGCAATTGTTAAGATAATGCCAGAGAAATTCTAATGACAACAGAACATTAAGAATAAGAATACGATCTTGTGTGATGTCAATACCTTCGGGAATTATATTTAGTGTTATCAGGAGTTAAGTATCGATATCAAAAACACGTTGGTACAAGAATGCCATTTTCGCATATTTAAAATTAGTTAGATAATCTGGTGGTATTTCCAATCTTCCATCAGTTCATAAAAGAACTAACACCTACAAAGTACTGTTATATTTTATAAAGTTGCATAATATCAATTTCGAAATATTGCCTTCTAACCTTGTCAGCGGTTTGATATCTCCTTATATATTTGTAAGCAGATTGAAGTTCAACTCCCATGATTGACGATAAATAATCGCAAACAGACAGCATCGTTATGTGATGAAATTGCATATTGGTTCAACCATGTTACAGTAAATTCAACCTAAAATAGTAAGGCCAAGACCTCGAGATATAGAATTGTTACTGGTCCTCTAGCTTCATAACAGAAGAGTAAGTGAAAAAAGGTTTAGGGTAAATAAGAATAGAACATGGTAATGGACAAAATGGAATTGCTTGGGCAATGTCCTCTCAACTTCCAAAATACGAATTGACAAATATGTAAATGAAAGTAGATGTAATAGTAAGGCGCATATTTATAAATACTGTACTTTAGTTCATTATGTATAATCCCAGTTCTTGATATTCTAAATTTAATAGAAGTTACAGTATATTAAATTAAATATTTGTTTGACTTTTTGATTTATAGTTAATATTGTTATATTAAAATATTTATTTGATACGTAGGCAAAACTTAATTAAATTATATAATTTATTATATATAAAAATCCGATCTAATTATTAATTTTTTTTGTTCTTATAGCATCGAAAATGTCAAATATTTTTGAAGACAATTTGGATTGGATCAATTCAAATAATTCTGACAATACAATACCTTCGAAATTTTCAGATAATGATTCTGAAAATTGTTCTAATAATGATATCGAACCAGAAGATATAGAGTTGAATGATGAAAAAATTGCTAACAATATTCAAGATCATACAACATCACAATTCAAAAAACGAAAGAAATCATCAAAAGTTTGGATTTATGTAGATTCAGAAATGCGAAAATGCTATACTTGTAATGCTAAATTTGCGACATCTACATCAACTTCAACTATTCAAAAACATTTCGATGGGCACTAGACTTTAATAACAAATGAAGATCAATTAGCACTTAAACAATATCATTCAGCTTCAACTCAAGAAGCCAAGACAAATT